ACTCCCAAAGCACGCTACTACGCAAAGCATCGGAAATTCCCTGAGCGGAAGATAAACCGTAACATTTTCATGTGTGTTATTTTCCACAAAGACGAAAATTGTTGCGCTTAATGCAGTAGAAATTGCGACAGCAGAGCAAGCCACAACTAATACTGTCTGTTCATATTCTGCTGTTCCCGTCAGCGAACAAGGTATATTGCTGGATCGTTTGATATAAGTGGAAACTCCATTACACTCTGTGGCATGAGTCATTAATTGGATGGCCGAGTCTGACGAAATCAGTTTTTCTGCAAGAATAGAATTCGAAGTGCTCGCATTTGTGCCCTTCGGTCGGCAGCACTCAAAATTATTCATGATCTGTAGTTGGTTCCGATAAGACAGTGCAATTGGTGATTTAAGGCGCGAAAGGAGTCTTCGCTCACTTCCGCGCGACGAGAGTTTGCTGGTGAAACATCGACTGAAACATTAAAGCTAGAAAAATGTGGAAGCAACACCAACCCCAAAAAAACTTATAGACTTCAAGTGCTCATATTGAAGGTCAGCACCCTAACGGGCAAAGTTTGATACGATATCTACCACGGTATAGGAGTGATCGATGGATATGAACCCTGCTCCACAAAGAGATAACGTTTTTCGCGCTAGCGATCTCCAGGCTTGTACGTTGTGCATAGGATTTGGCACTTCCTCCTTAACCATCCACTTAAAGCTTGAATATTCATGGGAAGTCTTCGTACCGTACAGCTTGTAAGGATGACCCCTGGTCCACCCAGCCTATTTTGACGAAGTAGTACGCGTTGCTTTAAACATTTCCTGCATCTTTTTATCATTAAAATCGTAGGATATAGCTCAATGTGAGCGCTAAAGCTGATGGTACTATGCTAAGCCAAGAATGAAGGAGAAGATTGCTGAGCCTCGGACAGCAGACGTGGTACCCACAGGCGATAAAATTTGGAGTTGTCAGTCTGTCAGTGCCCTGCGCGGCCTTCTCTGCGATAAAAATATTGAGATTTTTAAAAGATTCGACCGATAACAAGCTCAAGGTGTAGTACCAGGGTTTGAATGACCTCGTGCTTTTTGAGGGGTGTCGTACCACGTAATAGCTGGTGAGATGGAGCCCAGCCTTAGAATAGCGGTTTTAGAGAGCTAACAGTGCAGGTAAGTTGGTTCATAACATCAACACTCCAGATTTTGAAGCAGTAAATATCCCTTATATATCTAAAGGCATTGTCAGGACTATTAAAGAGCACTAAAGATACTGTGAGCGGTTGTCATTTGCGGCCAAGACACGTCATAGATTCATTTGTACCCTATTCACGAGTGTGAAAACTTCAACAATGTATATAACTGATTATGTTACGGGGTCAGTTCCATTACGCAGGATGTTTAAGTCACATACTTCTATGGTGCGGTCGGCATTCACTATATATCATGCATATTAAATATGCATAATTATTTAATATGCATGATATATAGTGAGATACAGAGAGACAAATTTTGTCTCTCTGTCAATTCTGTTTTACATATCTGGAGGCACTTATCCGTTTGGAGAGGGTTCATGGAGTATTTATGCATGTAATAAGATTTTACTATATATATTTAGTATATCTAGGAAAATCTAAACTTTTATAATTAGGATAAAATATAGATAAAAATCATTTTGGAATTAAAACCGAAGAGTCGATTAGCCTTAGGAAGGCAATAATTACTTTTGGAGTAAGCGGATCGCGATCCACTAACCCATGCTTGGTTCTTGTAAAGAACAAAAGGTCGGTGACCTGAAGCACGCTTCCTCAAGCGTTTTGCTACGGCAGTCCCGCTGCAGAAGGCCTCTTGACTGCGGTCATCATAAAGTCGAGCTATCGTGATAGCAATGTCCATTTCTCGCCACCAAAACGCAAGATTTTTAATTTCATCCCCATGAAAGCTTCTATCTTGAATTTCATGGGAACTTCCGTGTGTATTATCGGTGCTACAGCCACTTGTAGTGGATGTGTCGTAGCTGGCGTCGGTATATTCTGCGATTAAAATCCCAATTGTGTTTCTCATGTTGACTTATTGTTTCGTGATCCAATCGGAGCATGTCGAAGACCGCGCAATCTCCAATTTCAGTTCGCCGCTACGCCACACACCCATTGCGAGTGTGTGAGGACCGCATATTCATCCCTATTGATCTAAAAACGACCACCGATCACGAAATGACCGAGCTTCAGAGTCGAAAAGATTTGTAGAATTTATAAAAAACACAATCTTGAGCGGGAGGTGGTGAAAGGGGCCCAGTCCTATGTTGTTTGAATCACATACCTCTGTCTGTGGTTGATATTTACTACATATTCTGCATAGTTGTGTTTATATCCCTCAATACTTTTATATCAGAATTGGAGGCACCTATCAGTTTAAGGAAGGGTTAAGGCCTATTAACCGCATGAAACCTCTTATTTTCGTTCACGTAAACCAAGGACTCGCTCAACAATTGGCAGATAGCAGAAACGCTTTGGCTGAAGTCACGAAGGTACAAAAGATTTGGTACGCGGCATAGATTGTCCATAGTATTAGGCTACGTTTTTTCTGGTAACCTTGAGCTAAGCCTATAAAATAAGAAATGACTGTGAGTCGCGGACAATGAGCGTATCGCTGTGGTGACAGGGTCTGAAGACCGTAAATCTCACTTTTTCAGGATAAATTCCGCCAAAACGAATATAGCGACGCTATGCCTTAGTATCGTGATTTTCTTGTTGAATTAATAACTGATTACCGAGTCCGCAGGCAAGCTACTGCGGAGACAAGCAGCTGTCAAGAGTAGACGGGTCAAGATCTGATGTTTATAAGGACGATTTGTCCTTGCCACGCTGCGACTATACAGCTGGGTCAGCAAGTCCGAGTGATTTGCATACCAAGCTGAACATTTAATACAGAGTCTGTGGTAATGGACTCATTAACTGGTGCGCAACTTTTGTTAGTTATGAACCAACGTTTTTTTAAGCTAATCGACACAGTCCGATTCTGGTTTCCTTGTGGAATTACTTGTAGCGCCTGAAAAATTTCCAAGAAGATTCTCTCGTCAACCCTAAGGTGACATTTCTAGAGGGTGTATGCGAGAGAGCGCATTGTGGTGAGATCACTATGTTTTTCAGCTTATCATTCGCCATCGATATGTTAGGCATTCAGAGGACATATATAGAGAAAGGCGGTGCTATCCTCAGCGGTCTAACAAATTATTCTTTGTTAGAGGAAAATTACGGTGTGGCGGGATTGAGACCCGCAAGAATTTACATGACCTTTCCCTGCTTCCGTGATCTAGTTCTTGCGTGACATGAGACAAAGAAACAGTTTGGGGACGTCAAAGTTGGAGCGAAGCACGAGGCAAAGTTTGTAATGGGGATACAATACAGGGATGAGTCACACAAGATGGTGTGACCGAAGAAAGGTGTGAACTACACAGCTTGGAGTAATCACACCATAATGTGACTTCTTGTTAGGTTCCGCCACGAAGTGGTGGAACTGGCAGTAGTTATGCACATTAATTAGATTTTACTGTATTAACTGGGAAAACCAATTGTTTTAAATATAGCGGCTCTGCCGCAAATTAAATACAGTTTCGATTTTGAGCGAAAGATTGTATTTTCTTTAAGGTCTTGGAAATTTTTGGAGGTAGCGAATTGCGATCAACTGGTTCCGATATAGAAGGAAGGTCGGTGATCTTATGTAAGCTTCCTCAAAGCAAAAAGCTACGACTGCCCCGCTGCAAAGTTGGCGAGATAAAGTGAATCCTACCACTCGACGTTGAGGTTAGTTGTAAGTGGCAAGTTGTGCATGTTTTTGACAAGCCAAATTGACCCTCTATTTCAACGTAAACGTCGATACCTCCACAGGACATGCCGCCGAACAGCATAATCATTTTATTCTGTATTGCACTTGGCTTCATGTATATCGATGGAATCAACGACTCATGAGAGTCAGTAGTATTAACATCTCTGTCGTAGAAAAGTAGCCGAAATGCTATGGGAGTGGCGGGAAATATATCTAAGAGCATTTTTTGGCTAGCTGATACTTTGAATATATCACAGTTTAAATTGAACAAGTGTACGCACTATGTACTTGAGATGCTACTCAGCTTGGCACTCCAGGTTTACATAATGAGTCTATTCTCTGTACGTTTATTGGCGCGGACTCATAGAAACAAAGATTTTTCTGTACAACTTATACGGCAGCCCGTTGCAGTTCTCCGGGAACCCTTTTAGCTAGCGTTTCATGTCACATGCGTTGTACGCTTCACGCTAAACGACGACTGTGGTCTACTGGCTCACTTTCACTTGTGTAAGCAGACTAGTGAACAACATTATTACTGATAAATATTTAGATTTCTGAAAAGTAAATGTATCTACGTAAATTACCGTTTCAATGTGAATAAGTTCGGTCTAACACCGAAAATCACTTTGTAAAAGATAGAAGCCTTACCTAAACATAAAGCGAGATTGCATAATATTGGTACGTGTAACGGTGCTTCTGGAAACAATTAGAATGCATGACAGTGTTCCAGACTACTGCGGATGGGGTGCGAAGCAGGGCAGTAAAGTGCGCACGTGGAAAAATCGCTACTTTGTTCTACGTGGGTGCGAATTGATTTACTACTCTGGAGCAAAGAGCGATGGAAGTGGTGCCGGGTTGGGTGAAAAAGGGCGCCTCAAAGTGGTCAATGTCGACTATACACCGGATCGAAAAAATGGTTTGCTGATTCATGGTGAAGGTAGAACGCTTAAAATGACAACAGCTAGTACACAAGAGAGTCGTGTACTGTTTCGGAAGATCAAGGAAGCGATTGGAGAGCGAAAGACAAGTTTTGAAATTTCTACATTGCAGACTAATCTGAATCCGATGAAATCTACTGTGGACAAAGAAGGTTGGTTGCTTCGAAAGGATTATAGCTCTGGCAAATGGGAAAATTGTTACGTCTCACTTTCTGGCAAACAAATTCAGTTTGAAAGCGATCAAAACGCAGCGTTGAATGATTCACTGACGTTACAGCAAGTCGAATTAGATGATTCAAATCCGTTGTCATTGCGACTTATTGCGGATAATAATTTTGCGGTCTGTGTGGCAGCTAGGACAAAAGAGGAGATTGAGCGCTGGGATCGCCTTTTTGCGGCTGCTATCAGACAGCCTGTGCCATTGCGTCATGTAAAACTGGATGAATCAGTAAAACAAGATACCGTAGTAGATACGGACGTAATCGATCAAAAGCACTCACCACTACAGTGGGAAGGCTGGTTAGAAACACTCACAGAAGGTGACAGAATATGGCAAAAGCGGTATATGTCGCTTGTAAATGGAATATTGGAGACTCGCGAGGGGCCAATACAGCAGCATTTGGCGAGACTGATCGTGACCGATGTACGATACAGCAGTGTTCACTCGAATACTTTGGAAATTGAGTTTACCACGGACGATGCACTCAATGATGGAAAAACCATGTGCGCAAGAACCGACACAATTCAAGATTTAGACATTTGGATGGGTGCACTTTGCGATGCAGTTGGGAAACCAAGACTGCGACCAACTGGTGCAGTCTCTGAGCCGTTTTCTTCACCGAATAAATTACCAAGTCAGGATCATCAAAACATGTCTCTGCTACCTCCATTTCCAGAAAACATTCTAGTGGGACGAGACAGTGGTGAACCTTTTGATTACAACCAACAACCAAAACTTGTGGCCACATATTGCTCTTCTGACAAACAAGATTTAGCTTTTGCATCGTCAAACTGCACCAAGCGAGGCTGGTTATACGAACGAGACGATAGCTTATCGTCTTGGAAGCAACGGTATTTTCTTTTGAACGGTAGTACACTTTATCACAACAAAAATGTTGGTAATGTCGCTGAAAAGCTTGGAACTGTACTGGATGTCAGCCGTAGCGAGGATTTGATTGGGTGTCTGTGTGTCAAGTTTAACGATGGTGGTAGTGTAACTGTTAACGGTGAAACAAAGGCTGACACTGATGCATGGTATACTGCCTTATATAAGGCATCTTTAAGTTGTGCGCCAAGTCCGTCGGGTAGAGCGTCAAAATCTTGCCGGGATGACCAAGAGTCTGCGCATCACAGCGATCATGTTTTTCGGGGATGGTTACTCAAGAGGGGGCAACATTTTAAGACTTGGAAACGTCGCTATTTTGTTCTTGAAAGCAGCCGACTTGCCTACAGTGCAAGTGCTGGAAGTGAAATCTTGGGTTCTGGTGTGGTGTTTGATGTCGACATGGGAGACTCTCGCCCGTTTTGCCTCAACATTCGGTTCCAAAATGGACGTCTTCTTCATGTCGTGGCTCCAACTGAAGAAGCTTTTTCGAGGTGGTTTTTTGAGTTGCGAAAAGCGTCAAATGTAGCTCTGGCTGTATCGTTTCTGTCTCGAAGTAACGGGAGAATTTTATTCGACGAAGAATTTGACAACGACGTTACAGAGGATTCAAATGACGTGGTAGAGGACTTCACCGAGGAAGACCTTGCTGAGTATGACATGAACACTACACGGGGTGGTGAAGGGGCTTCACTGTGGATTGCAGCCATGCAGAATAAGCCTGAGTACGATAAGCAAAGCTCATCATTTTCTGATCAAAGCGATCGGGACAGGGATCCGACAGACCAAGAATCCGCTGAAGTTGTTTCTTGTGTCGATGAAAACCCCGCAGATACGACCCAGGGATGTGTTGGGTGGCTGAAGAAAGAAGGCAAAAATGTCAAAAGCTGGAAGTGGCGGTACTTCACGCTGTACGGCTCCAAGTTGAGTTACTACAAGAGCAAAACGAAAACCTTATTGAGGTCTGTTATTGTCGAGAATGTTGTGGCACATCCGTCAATTTCCCTAGGTTTGATCGTCTCTACAGTTGGTGGCCGAAAATTGTTAATTCGAGGTGAGTCAAAAGATGAGTTTAACAAATGGCTCGATGCGATACAGGCAGCTGTGACTGTAGAAAGAAGAAGAAAATCGACAGTGGTGGAGACACCAATGACGAATATGGTTCTAGATTGTCGATCAAGTCTGGATTTGAAATCCTCAACTAGCTTTAATGGTTGGCTCGAGAAAGAAGGTCAGCGATTTAAGACCTGGAAAAAGCGTTTCTTTACCGTCAAAAATAATGCCTTGATTTATTACAGTGGAAGTGGGAAAGTGGCTCGCGGTCATGGCATAGTTCGAGGTGTATACGAAGATGAGACAAAGCGACATACGCTCGTGATTGAGTTTTGTTGTGGTAAGACCATGCGTGTGACAGCTCCAAATGAAGCAGAGATGAATGCATGGTATCAAGCTTTATCACGCGGTCGGGCGTCCAGTAGTGCACGGACTGCTGTTTCGGATGTTAGCGATGATGTCATTGACTCGGATTTTGAAGGTAAAAAGCCTCAGCGCGCTAATCGCTTAAGTCGGTTTGATTCTCAAGACTATATTAATGATAGCATTACGAACGACACGATCATGCGACTTCGCGACGAGGAAGGAAAGGGAACTATGCTAAATAGTGTATTTAATACTTCTCGCTCGTTCAAAGGCGAACTTGCATTTGATGAAGAGGAAGAAGACTTTGGACTTAGCACGTCTGGTGCCGATTATTACCGCAAGCTACAGGTTGAAGAAGCCCGAATTCAGAAGCAACGCAGTGAAGAAAAAGTAGCGAAAACAGAGTCGCCTATTACAGGATGTGCTCCTTGCTGTAATGTAATGTGATGTAATCATCAGTTGCGTCATGGATACCATTTTTCAAATCAGCTTAATTTTTTTCATACATAAACGTTATGCTGTAAATTGTCTACAGCATCTGTAACGGTCTCTAGGAAAAGTCTCTCGTCACGGATTATTCAGCTTTACGCTATATAATGAGCAAAGAACACGATATCTGTAGCTACAAAGCGCGCCGCACGTTTCTTGGTAAAGAGTTTGAGATTCAATTGTTTGAAGTGGATGGCGCTGGCATCACCGCCGTGGCCATTCAGATCTCACAAGAACAGGATTCACCACAAAACTTCTCGCGAGCATTTTCACGTGCTGAGTTGGAAAAAGCTGGCATTAATCGAACTTCAAAGGCTTATGTTGCTCTCGTTGATTCCCTTGAGCTGGTTGAAGATGTATACTTTACAGGCAATGACGCAATAAGCTCGGGACAGAACATGCTCACTGCGTACCGGTTATCATCTAAGCTCCCTGGTATCAGTTCTCCTCTACCCATTGTATCCCACCATGCAGCTTTATCGTACTTTGCACGAGCCCCTGTGGGGTTCAGTGCGCGGAATACCAGCCAAGAAGTGGAAGAGGACAACCTGTTAGTAAACGTGATAGTGAAAGGATTGACTGAGTTGTGTCGTGAGAAACCATCCGGACTAAATGCTCTTAGATGGCTCGGAAATTGGTTTCTCGAACACAATCCAGCGCAACCACTGGTAAACGCGGACGATTGAGTAGTTAAATTTTGAGGATACTTCGAATAGGAAGATTCTACACACAATGTTTGATGCTTTCGTTTGGCATTAGTTCGTCACGGATGTTTTTTGAGTTTAGAACTGTAACGAGCGCGATTAAATGTTCAATAGATAGACGCGCCTATTCACCCTATAGGATCGTTTAACGAAGTAGCTAGTCGTAAATGATTTCCATGACGGACGAATTGCAGTCGTCTGAAGAGCTAGCGTTTGTTGCCGAGGAGGTGAATCGGATCATCCTTGCATCGATTGAAAGCTTTTTGAAGGACGAAGCGTACGATGAGTCAAAGGTGTCACAATGGGTTGACAACATTTGCGAATCCATAATGAAAGGGCTAAGTGAGCTGCGTAAGCCGCTTAAGTATATTGGTATGCTTTCGCGTGAATGTAAATTACATCGCCTATGATTAACAGCAATCATGTTTAGTGAGCTGCCTAATTATGCAGAGGAACGGCGCTGGTGTGCATGCCTCCGTTTCCTGTCATTGGGACACTGTTAGTGACGGTAAGAACTTTTGTAATTAATAGTCACTATATCTGCTTATTATTAAGGACATCAGGTGCGCTAGTGGTGAAGTGGCCAGGGGACAAGCACAAAGACCACAATCGAAGTATGTACTGCATCATCACTGTAAGCGGCCTGAGCTTTTAAATTGAGTTGTAGATAAAGGTTTTCCTAGCATACATAGACTATGCTTAGTATTATTCAAATTAGGTACGACCTGATTTTCCAGACAAGACATCCTTTTAAGCAGCTCCATATAGAAGTATCTTAATATTAGTCAGAGAAATGGGGCGCGAAGACCCAGCGACATACGCTGGCTGGGTGTTCAAAGAAGGAAGTCTTGTGCGATCATGGAAGAAAAGATTTCTTGTATGCAAGGGTGCAGAGCTAGCTTACTACAAGAACACGGACGAGGAAAATCATGCGCAACTGTTAGGCGCGCTAACCGCTGCACACATCGAGCGTCTGCCCGACATCACGAATGGGCTGCTCATTCATGGTACTGAAGGCCGGCAGCTCAAGATCTTTACGGATACAAAACAGGAGTGCAATCGCTGCTTCGAGGCCATTAGTAAGTATTGCAAGATGCAGAACACAGGAGACGGAGCATTGCAACGCGTGGGCTGGCTCGAGAAAGAAGGACAGCACTTTCGCACATGGAAAAGGCGTTATTTTGTATTGAGTGGTACCCAATTGACATACTCAGCTGCGATGGGAGCAGAGAAATTGGGCGGTGGTCGAGTCATTGGTGCTAAAAGGGATGCTAGTCGACCATTTACTTTGGCTGTGACGTTTGAAGGAGGAAGAAACATGAGGGTTGGAGGCAAATCTGAAGGAGATATTGACGACTGGCACAAGGCACTGCGACATGGGCTGCTGTACGCACAAAAACAGCGAGAGAGTGAGCAGGGAAGTCCTTCAATAGATGACGATCCTAGAAATGCAAGAGACAAGGAATTGGCCAGACGACAGGCGAGTGCAAGTGTCGCCAGTAACGACCTGACTGATGATGAGGCAAGCTCGTTGTTTGGTGCACCCCCACTCGATGTGATTGATACTGCTAAAGGGGTGCAAAATGATCAACGTAAAGTCGAAAAAGAGACTTCTGAGGAGGGCGAGTCAAAGGAAAACTACAACTCACCTCTATTGTACTCAGCCAGCTCATTTCGACGCCATATTGTGGTGGAAACAATGCCTGACAACACAGCCAGCTTTATTGAAGTTGCAGAACGCGAGAGTGAAAGCAGCAATGAAAAACCGTTCTCGCCTACAGCACCAGGCACTAGCACAATTCGTCGGATGCGGTTGGCAGAAAAGCTTTTGCAGGAAGAGCTGGAAGAAGAGCGTCGTGAGGCAATGTTGAAAGAAAACACGGTGCTTATGCGCACTGAAAGCAGATCAGATGGCCAAGACCCTAAAAGTGCCTGCTGTTGCATAGTCATGTAACGTTATGAGCTTGAGATCAACTTGTGTACATCTACACAAGTTGCTAAACTTATTATCACAGTTGTATACCACATTTGTTGAAGATGGCTTTCATTTCTTACACTTTCCGGAACTTAAGGTATGAACATAACAAATAAAGAGAATGTCATTGGTCAAGATTGTATCGCCTACAAAATTTCCACAAAATTGAGATCTCGTCTCTAACATACGCAGATGAAGCAGAGTCCGCGATCATCCCCGCACAAAGAATAGATTTATGGGCTGACTCATAGGTGCCGAAATTGGAGCCTTTAAAGTACCAACGCTCTTTTTTTTGAAGAGAATTTTTTCAATTAATAATAAAAGCTGGAAAACACAAAATACAACTCTTAGCCCAATATGAATGACACTAGTAGCTCAAAATTCCCACGAAAAAAACTATACTAAGCGCAACCACCGAATTCTAATCACGATACTTTGTCACGGTATCTCACAATGGTATTTAGGAGCTTCGCCCAATGACGGTGGACAGCAGTGTAATGAAGACATACCATAAGTCAGTGCGTACCCCGCCAATAAGACCCACCCAATCTTTCGCCTCCGCAACTTGACTTCTTTAGAAAGGTAAAACGCGGATATAAAGGCTTAGCCCGGCACTGATGCTGACGATTGAATGGGACGACTACTATTACAAACTTCAAAATGAATTTTATTTTCCTCTGCACGCATGGATGGTGGTATAAGAGCAGCAACACAGACAAGCGCAAGATATTTTAGCCAGCTTGAGTTGACATTCGAGAAGCTGCGACGTGAAACAGTGAAGGAAATTACTTCATAGCCCATATCATATGCTTAAATACAAACCACAATCATGACATCAGCCAAGCGCTCAACAAGCGCTACCGTCTGTGCGACATGTTGAATTCTCTGTTCTGGTAGTCGGCTGGATCAAAAGCGACATCTGCGGGATAAGATATTCACAATTGTACGTGTTATCATGTCTCATACTACTTTAATTCGTATCCCGTCACCTGGCGCGCACAAGATGATTGTGAGGATGTGAGAGGTGATGTAGAAGTTGCAGCGGGGCTGCCGCAGCTTTGCGCCTGAGGAAGCGTCTTTAGGTCACTAACCCTTCGTTCTTGACAAGAACCAAGTACTAGTGCAGCGGATAGCAATCCGCTGCCTTCAATGGTACTTAAAAGCCTTGACCAAGGCAAACGAACACTTCTGTTCAAAATCGAAACTGATTTTTATTTATTTTTATCCTAATTTTAAGGTTTAGATTTACTAAACAGACTAAATATATATAGTAGAATCCAAATACATGCATAAGTACTGGCTACCTAGCTTCGCACCGTATTCTTGTTTGGGTGTGTTGTCACATTATGCACATCTCGTGTGACACGCACACACCCCTGTTATTAGGGTTCTTAAACCCCGTTACATCCTCCCCCATTGAGATTGAGAACATCTACAGTTCCAATCAATTATTGCCACAACGAGGCTCGCGTGTCCGTCGGACACTGCAACTCCATTTGTTGGAACAAACAACTTCCTTGTTCAATGAGCCCTGTCTCAATGACACCAAAATCTCCTAGTCTCGCCGGTTCTGGCGGTGAGCATGGGCAGAGCCCAACTTCATCTCCCGCACTCGGTGCAACGTCGGACAATGCGTCCGCAGCACCGAGGGGTGTATATCATAGGCTCGATAAGCACAAACGTCGCGCTCCGCGCACGCCTTCAGCGCAAAGTGGCCTCGTTGAGGATGTGGTCGGCAATGAGTCTGACACTCCGTTTCCCGCATGGGATGACGAGGAAGGCGAGCTGCACCAGCGGCACGATATGAACCCTGCTCGTATCTTGCGGATTCCATGTCCGTTCCCTGACTTCTCGTCAACCGAGGCACATGGTGTGATCACGAATGACTGGGAACATGGGCGGCAGCTTGAAGCTGCCCATAAGGCGGCTCTAAACCGCGCCCATCCACGGTCGGTCATTGACCCACGTGTGGAATATGATTTCCACCCTGCGGATCCAGCTTTGGAAACGAAGGATGCGGTAACTCGATCATTACGCGTCCACATCAATGGGTCCCCGGCTAGAACGGACGATGAAGTTGCCACACGGAAAGCTCTTCGAGCTCGTTTCTTGGTCCCACAAGAAATTCCGTTAGACGTTTATCGCACTCGTCCAAGTGCTCAACGAGGTGGCTCTCGTGTACCCACAATGCGGACAATACCTGTAGTGCTCGCCCCTAACGAAAGCACTACAGATGACGAAGCGCTCTTTGAGCGATGGGTGTAACGCCACCGAAAA